CCCCCCCCCCAGCCACTAACAGCTGGAAACAAAAATAGAACAGCAAGAGCAGAAAATAACATTAAATCCCCACAGAAGCAGGTTTTAAAATTGTATCACACCCAGCACCCCTTATATTTTAACCGTGGACCCAGTGGGTAAGGTTGTGGTTGTGTTTTCCTTTACCTGGATAACAGCTTTCTTGTCGGCCTTTGGCAAGTTCTTTGCTTGGCGTTCTGCCTCTTCCCACTCTCTCATGACCTAACGAACAAAACAAGGAGCGTGACTTTTGTATTTTCCTCACTTGTCTCAGGGCTTAGCTACAGCCAAGCACTGCAGCTCTGACAGTCGTCTTTTCATATTCCTCCCCTCCTTTTATCTCTATTAAAAAAGCAGTTACAACATTTAACAAAGGTAGGATCCTGTTATTAAATTAAACAAAGACGGCACTTCTGTGTCTGAACATCGTGCCAAGCTCTCTCAACTCCGCACTGAAGCAATACAGCCGTTAACCAGCCCTCAAGCGAGGGAAGTGGAGGTCTCTATGGGTGACACACCAATCCTTTTTCATCTCAGACAGAAAGGAAACTGCTTTCATCTAGTGTACGTCCTTGGTCAAAACGAGTGAATTTCAACTCGTTCTAATTGACTTTTTTTTTTTTGTACCACAAAATTTTTACATTTATTCAGACTACGTCGCTGGCCTTTGAGGAGGACAGATCAAAAATCACATGCGATTTGTGCTAGTCTGCCCAGAAACAGGTGTCCAACACTTCAAGAACTGAATATATTTATATCTCAAGTACAATGCTGACAGAAGAATGATGTAGGAGACCTTTCAGTACCACTCCTTTCAGCAACACAAGAGGCCACCTCCTCCTGTAAGACAGGGCAGGATTTCAGCAGTCAGGGAATGAGTTACCCTTAACTTGCTGACCATGACATCTGAAACGTTCTTCTGGTCTTACTTAGAGACTTTACTCTTCACACCTAGACAGCAGTCTCCTCAGACAACACTTTTTATACAGGAACAATTGCTCTCACCGAATGCAGTGCACACAAATAAGTGACTTGTTTATTTGCAGGCTTAACACAATGTCAGAAGAAGACAGAAGAAACCTAGAAGCAATTACTCAAAATGTGCCTTTCCTTCCTTTCTCACCAAAAAACACACTTCATGCTCTCATACCATTTAATAGAAATAGTCAAACATATGCTTTCTAAAGGGGATTTTAGAAAAGCCCAGAGTCCACATGCATGACTGAAATTTTACCATGACCAATACCAAAGGTGGGACAAATTAGACCTGCTATGTCTCACGTCTATCTGCAAGTTGAGCCTTCACCAGCTCTTGTCTCAGGCTACCCAGTTTTCCTACATGCTGGACATTGCTAATCAGGCTCCTTGATGGACAGATTGGAGAGCACTGGTGGTGCCTCAGGGTATCTGGTTAAGCCCATGGCTTTTAAGAAAAAAAACAAGAAGTCTGGGCTCAAAGGAGACTTTTAGAAACTCCAGTCCTTGAAATGTAATCCCTTCTCAGTTCTATACAGGGTTGTAGACCCTAACGATTAACCAGCATGCAGACATACCTGCACTCAAGACTGACACATAGCAAGTTTGCTGACGACACCAAGCTGTGTGGTGTGGTCGAAGCACTGGAGGGAAGGGATGCCATCCAGAGGGACCTTGACAGGCGGACTCATGTGAACCTCATGTTCAAGGTGCAAGGTCCTGCACATGGATCAGGGCAATCCCAAACATTGATTTAGGCTAGGCAATGAGTGGATTGAGAGCAGTGCTGTGGAGAAGGACTTGGAGGGGTTGGTTGATGAGAAGCTCAACATGAGCCGGCAATGTGCGCTTGCAGCCCAGAAAGCCAACCATATCCTGGGCTGCATCCAAAGAAGCGTGGCCAGCAGGTCGAAGGAGGTGATTCTGCCCCTCTACTCTGCTCTCATGAGACCCCACCTGGAGTACTGTGTTCAGCTCTGCGGCTCCTAAATGAAGATGCACATGGAGCTGTTGGAGCAAGTCCAGAGCAGGGCCACAAAGATGCTCAGAGGGCTGGAGCACCTCTCCTATGAAGACAGGCTGAGAGAGTTCGGGTTTTTCAGCCTGGAGAAGAGAATGCTCCAGGGAGACCTTATAGCAGCCTAAAGGGGACCAACATGCTGGAGAAGGGCTTTTTACAAGGGCATGTAGTGTTAGGACAAAGGCTAACAGCTTTAAACTGAAAGAAGGCAGATTTAGATTAGATACTAGGTAGAAATGCTTCACTCTGAGGGTGGTGAGACACTGGAACAGGTTGCCCAGAGAAGCTGTGGATGCTCCACCCCTGGAGGTGTTCAAGGCCAGGTTGGATGAGGCTTTGAGATACTTGATCAAGTGGAAGATGTCCCTGCCCATGGCAGGAGGGTTGGAACTAGATGATCTTTGAGGTCCCTTCCAACTCAAACCATTCTATGAATGAACTGACACCACAGTTCAGAGCATCGTGATGTGTTCTGGAAAAAACTCATTAATGCTCACAGTGCTGTATTAAGCACTAATGAGCATTAATGTATTAAGCGCATATTAGGTATTAATCTCTTAATTGGAATCTTAGACCATATGATTGTGTTGGCTGAGAAAACCTAATTCAAGTATACAGGTAGCATCTTTCTAGAAACTTGAATCGTCACTGGTGCCAGGATGTGAACATTACAGAAGACCCAGAAATCATGGCATTAATTCAAGTCACAAACTACAATGATGTGCTCAAGCTTGAGCATTGGCCTAAGTTAGCAACTTCATGATTTTCTTATCCCTCCTCTCCTTTTACATCTTGAAATCACATCTCTGACATCTGCTTAATACTCCTTTTCACTGTGAATGAGCAGTTTATGGGTTTTCAGAACAGTTCCCTTGCCATCTTTATTCCCCAAACTAACCCTCTGTTAAACCATATGATGAAAACAAGTGTTGTGGGTAATGTGATAAGGAGACCTTTGGCTAGACCAGGTCTCTCTGTCTCTTTTATTTCTCTTAACCTTTTAAGGCATGGAAGGCAGGATGATAAACTGACAGCCTACACACCTGGTTGGGAGGGATGTAAATTACAGGCTTCAGAGTTCAGCTCTGGTGCAATGACAGCTAACGGCTTGTGAAAAAAATGGAACGATGTGGCTGTTTGCAGAAACAATGTTCAATGTAAAGATTACAGAAGCTGTGCTTTGAGTGCCAATTTTTGCAATTGAGACAACTTCAATGGCTGAAAGCATCTCTGTGTATATGCTAGCTAAGATACAGCTGCCCTACAGCTGTCTCTGGGCAGTCATGCTACCGCCCACAGAAAACTTCTGCTCTCACCCAAGGTCATTGCTTTAGAAAATTATGAGTGACTAAGAAATATGTCATAGCACTCCGTAGGAAACCAAAGAGCAAGAAGGGAAAAAAAAATTCCCCAGATACGCATGTGCAGAAGAAGGCTGAACTTGGCCTCTAAACTTATAAACCTATTCTCCTTCCTTTAAAGCACAGACCTATCAAAGCCACATGGCTTTATGGCTCTTCAAGACTTGTCGGCTTTGTGCAGGGAAAATGACAACTTCTGGTTGAGATTTAAGCAGCAAGCCATTTCAAAGTCAAACTTCAGAACTCAGGACTCAGCGCCTGGCAGATTTCCTTTGAAATAGGGCTGTAGAGGACAGCAAGGGGGAAAAAGGAAGTACAAAAAATGTCATTTATTATTATGAGAAATGTTAAGTACAAAAATCTCATTATCTTGGAAACGGCAGAATTTACTCCCATTTATTATACTAGGACAAAGAAGCACATCTGCAAAAGAAGTATTTATGACAGACACTTGGGTTACAGCAATCAGATCATGAGAGGTGCCTGCCTGAAGGTTTGCTTAGTTAGAAGGTCAAAGTCATGCCACGAAGATGCCTACCTTTGTCAGGGCTTTTGTTCCACACTTAAGTCTTGACCCTTTTTCTGATAACAACATCATTAAACCTCTCCCAAGAGCCATGACTATAACTGAGGGGGTTACTCCTACTAAGGTGACAGACCATTTTAAGGAATGAAAGATCCCTCCCACACACAATAACAGAGATGGCGGGATCTAGGGAACATAGGGACCAGTGCTATTTAACATCTTTGTCAAGTACATGGGCAGTGGGATTGAGTGCACCCTCAGCAAGTTTTCTGACGACATCAAGCTGTGTGGTGTGGTCGACACGCTGGAGGGAAGGGATGCCATCCAGAGGGACCTTGGCAGGCTGGAGAGGTGGGCCCATGTGAGCTTTATGAAGTTCAACCAGGCCAAGTGCAAGATTCTCCACATGCATCAGGGCAATCCTAAACATCGATATAGGCTGGGCAATGAATGGATTGAGAGCAGTCCTGTGGAGAAGGTAATGTGCGCTTGCAGCCCGGAAAGCCAACCATATCCTGGGCTGCATCCAAAGAAGCGTGGCCAGCAGGTCAAGGGAGGTGATTCTGCCCCTCTACTCTGCTCTCATGAGACCCCACCTGGAGTACTGTGTTCAGCTCTGGGGCTCCTAAATGAAGATGCACATGGAGCTGTTGAAGCAAGTCCAGAGCAGGGCCACAAAGATGCTCAGAGGGCTGGAGCACCTCTCCTATGAAGACAGGCTGAGAGAGTTGGGGTTGCTCAGCCTGGAGAAGAAAAGGCTCTGGAAAGACCTTATAGCAGCCTTCCAGTACTTAAAGGGAGCCTACAGGAAAGATGGGAAGGGACCCTTCATCAGAGAGTGTAGTGATAGGATGAGGGGTAACGGTTTTAAACTTTAAATGGGTAGATTTAGAATAGATATTAGGAATAAAGTCTTTGCACTGAAGGTGATGAGGCACTGGAACTGGTTGCCCAGAGAAGTTGAGGATTCCCCCTCCCTGGAATTGTTCAATGTCTGACTGGATGAGGCTTTGAGAGACCTGATCTAGTGGAAGGGGGGTTGGAACTAGATGATCTTTAAGGTCTTGTCCAACCCAAACCATTCTATGATTCTATGGTGCCACTGGCACTAAAAATAAGCTGAAGACCTCTCCAGGATGTTGGAACTAGTGGCATGCAATGATCCAAAAAAAATCTTGAACGTAATACCAGCTCTGTTCAGGCTAGTTGAGGACTACAGTATTTTCAGATGCTTGCTTTGGAAATGAATTTCTAAGACGTAAGACTATTTTAGGAGACAAGGTATCATTAAGTTACTATCGTAAGTTCTGTACACGCTATGATTCCTAAAATATTGTAAACAGCCAGAGGAAGAGTAAATTTAAGACATGAGGATATCACAAGACGTTTCAGGAGAGAAAAGTATAAATATACTGCTCCGCTGAGTAAGTTTCAATATCAGGTTCCACCAAGCTACTTAGCAGCAACTATTTAAGTGAGGGAGCTGTACAGGAGTTGACAAACTGGAAAGAGAAAGATGAAAAGGGGAATTTTACCAAAACAGGAAACAAAAACCATGGCATCTTGCAATCAGTCAGCACCACCTCTCCCTGTTGTATGTTAGAGAATAGCAAACATTTGAAGACTACACATGCATCACTGAATGGCTATCCTGTTTGCATGAGAACGCAGCTTTGCTTTTATTTGGAGCTGCACTAAGAATTCTTGGGAAAAGCTTAAAATTGTATTCAAACATAATTCTCTTTACAGTACTGCCTAGGAAAGTTTATAGCAACAAGGAAAGCCTTGTTGCTCCAGGTGCAATACAGATTTAAAGGCAGAAAAACTTTCATAGTCTGTAGCCTAAAGGGATGGACACTTAAGAGCAGAAAGGATTAAAACAGTCTGAACCAGAGGTGCATCAGGTACAAAAGGAGCACAGGCTCCCCTAGTAAGAGAGTCTTTTAGCTGTGAACTACGATTCTATGATGCAACCACCATCAGAGGCTGGGTCTCTGCCTGTCTGAATATCTTTATGCAAGAGAAAAAGAAACAGGAATTGTCAGAATTTCATTGTAAACAAAGGGAAATCTCAGAAAGAGGATAAACAGAGTATCTATATTGACCCTGATGACATATTTTGATTAAAATATTTATTTTTTTAAATTATAAACTTCTCTACTCCTTAGATGATTGTTTTGTAAGTGAACTAGAATACATATTTTTTATTAGTTAATTGGCTGCTGCAAAGCATGCATCCAATCAAGTACTGTTTTAGAACTAGCTGCTTTATTAAATAAAAGAAATATCTGTATTTAGTGAACAAGCTGGTTTATTTCAGATTATGACATTTATCAAGATTAAAGAATGACTTGATCATGTTCCAAAACCACTGATCATTTCCTCTCTTTCTAATAGAAGGAAAATGGGCATTTCTGCTCCTATATAAGCCTCTATTTCTCAGCTTTGAAAGAACTGGACTTTGAGCAACTGTTTGGGTAAATAAAAATGAATGAATATGTTTGGTGCTGTTGGAAGACTTAGCTGGTGACTCTCACTAACTTTTTTTTTTTTTAAGAGAAAAACATTGACAGTAAAAGCTTTCTAATTTAATTCATTTAGCATTGTTTCCAACATAATAAGTAACAGCTTTGGGGTGGTTTTTTTTTTTAGTTAAGTACACATTAAGAACATGTCTGATTTTGAAGAAAATATAAAAAGCAATTTTAAAATAAACTGCTATAAAAGCAGAGCAGCGCTATGGGACACAGACACATCACGGTTCACGTGAAGAAACAGAATGGTAAACAAGCTGGCTTTTCAATTTCTCCGTAAGATCTTACGTTTTTTAAACATTTGAAACGTTAACTGGGAGAAGCTAGCTCAATGCTGTACAAGACATTACTTACAGAAGAGAAAATTAATTTTTAAAAACTTAAGTAAGTTAACTCTCTTCTTGAAAGCTCTGCAGGGGTTCTGTGTACTTCAATATATCCGTACTTTTAAGCTGAGATTTCATAAGCAGCTTAAGTATATTAAAGGTCTGTCTTTCTTGACATACTATCATGCTGCTGTTTCCCAGGTCTGACACAGCTTGCTGAACTGGCCACAGTTGGTTATTTTACTTTTTTTCGGAAGAGTGACATAGCAGTGAGATGAGGGAGCTGACTTGTCTCACCCCGCAGCTGTACGCTCATTAGTGCTGACAGAAAGGATGGCTGGAAAGGCGCTAACGAGGGCAGAGCACGCGCAGCACCAGCGTGATCTTCAGTCAAACCCTTGAACCACAGCCTTCTTTTACAAGGCTGCCCCAAACGCGCATGGTAGAGCGTGCAGCGCGTTTACCCAGCAGTCTTCTGATGCTGCGGTTCAGTGTTTTTCCCAATTAGTTAATGCTGTGGGCTTCAAGCACCGACGTCGTACGGTCTCTCTCTCTCTGACGTTTTCTGGGTGCCTGTGCATTCGATTAGCTCTTTTCCACAAACCATTGGCTTTGCAGGAAACAGAAAATACACAGTTCACCCAAACGCTGTCCTTAATTACTCAGCTTAACCTCAACACCGCATATGGGATTTTAGAGGCAAACCTGAAACCTTGGTGAGAATGGGAGGACTGTTTCACCAGGGAAACCTGCCTTTTGCACTGACTGGTCTTTGCTTTCAGGACACCCACCCTGCTGTGTTTGTCCAACGGGGCTGTTTCGAGAAAGCAGAGGGTAATAACGCAGTGACAACTGCGTTACCCGCCGACCCTCCGTGTGCCTGGCTGAGGCAGGACCTCTCTCCTCCAACAGGCTCGCACCATGGCCGCTGGTCGTTTTAATGAAGTTGTTGATCTTCCAGAGGAAAGGAAATAGTGACACTTCAAAAAGCACTAAATTGGGACTATTTTGTCTAAGGAGGAGACAGCTTTTTTGTGCTACAACGCTTCCCAAGCGCAGGCAGATGAGGAGCACGTATCTTCCTATCTATTAAGCGTCATATTCTCAGCACGTGGTTTGCACCGATCAGATGGCTGCTTCAGGTAGGATTACCTGCCCTATTTACTAGAAAAGTGCCAGGCATAGCTACAGTACCAGTAGACAGGGACTTATTCAAAGAGCTTAATTTCAGGCTTACTCAAACATCTTAGCACAGAGCTAAAGGTTAATGTGTCAGTAATACATGGAAACACTGGAAATGCAACCAGGGAAGACAATTACAATGAAAAATTACAGTAAAATAGCTACGTAGATATGTGCAGTGCCTCTGAATTATACTACATTCATTTTAGTGGTTGTTCCATCCTCAAAAGATATGCACCACAGGCTTTCCTTTAAACCTCTTATATTATTTCTTTGTTGTTATTAGAGCAGAACTGTGACAATTTTTTGCTGGCATTGCTATTATAAACCCTATTTCTGAGAGAGTGGATAGTTTATCTCTTAGTGTTCAATAGGATTAAAAACAGTGTAGAGTTTTACGCTACACAAATCTTTTTGGTTAAAGGAAAAAAAGGGTTGATTCAGAGGGATTTTGGTTCAGTTCAAAAGCACTAATTTTTCCTTTTTTCTTCTGCTTTAGGTGCATTTCATGTTACCTTGAGGCTCAAGACCATTAGATGAACATATGCGAGCTTATAGTTACCCCAGGGCACGGCCAATGTGTGGATACACAGGGAGAACGAAGCTAATCACAAACAATCTCCCTCAGCTGCTACAAAGGAAGGATGACTAATACAGCGGTCAAGTTCTTTACTCAGAAGTAAGAATAATCTCACAAACTAAACATTCTTCCACAAAGATGACAGCAATTTTTAACAGACCTTTTTTCCCTTTCTACCGGCACACGTAACTGCAGCGACTCAGGATCGCAGCTGCGACCCAACCACAAATGTATGTCTCAGACAGCTGAATTCTTAGCTAAGAGTCAGAAAGGCAGTAACAGGTGTATTTACAACATTGCAAACAAGCAGGGCATCTGGCTGAAGCCTTGGGAAATACAAAAAAGGAGGACTCCAAGCATCTTATGACTCGACAGAAAAAACTCCCTCCCATATTTAGAAATAAAGGAATCTCCCCTTACCTGAGACATCCTTTCACGATGCTTAGCTTCAAGTCTCTCCTTGGCTTTCTGGAAATGGGCATGTTCATTCTCATCCCCAGGTGTCTCCAAGTATTTGTCAACAGCATCAGGAGTGCTAGCGGCTGTGGTAGGGACTGAGGTAAAATTTGGAGAGAGGGAAGGAAGGGGGAAAAAACACAGAGTTTCTACTTTAGTACTGGTAAAATTCAGTTGGACCAGGCAAGAAACATCTGTTCTAATTTCCATCAGAATAAAGCCATTCATTTAACCTTAGAGGAGGATATAAAAATGTGGTTTAGGCAGACACATGAGATACATATTTACATACGTTTGGTGTGTAAGCATTTCCCTCTCACCCCACTTTCTAATCCAGGAGGAACTCTTTGGTGTGTGCAAAGCAATGTTACTCAAACAGGTTAGAAACTGCTGCCAAAGGAAAAATTTCAAGGAAAACAAAGCCTGGCAATGACTAAAACACATAAACCAACAGAAAACCCTTTGCAAAGTTACATGCTTTGTATATTAGTTTATCTTTAAAAGGTAAACTGTAACCCACGAGTGCCAATGCAAATATGTTTTAAAGCACCTTTGGACCCCACAGTATCCTAATGAAATACCTCAAATCCTTCCCTTAGTGACAGTTTTGCCTCACAGACATTTACTCTATTTGTAACTACTTCGACTAAGAAAATTGCTCATGGATGCAGGAAATAATCAGCAAAGATGCACCAATTGCCAGCCACTCCTGTCCAATAGCTAGGCAATATCTATCACACTAGTAGCAGAAAGATTTGCATTTGGGGTAATTCAAGCAGAGTGGGCAACAGTTCCTTCACTACACAGTAACATTTGACAACCTCTACATTAACTGCAGTAACATTTCTGTGCCAGGAACACAACAACAATTTAAAAAGCTGTCCAATGATAATCAACTATTTAATTTCAACTATATAGTTCCTAAATATTTTATTATATAATTGGTTTCATTTCCCTGGTCACGTTTAGTTTAGCAGTTGCAAAGTCAGTTCAGAAATTTTGACACGCAAAGACTGCACGCATAGTTGCACTGGATTTTTTTTTTTTTAATGAGTTTGACTACACATACGATAGTTAACTTCACTTACAGAGGTAATACATTTTAGTAGATAGACTACTACAGGTAGGGAAAAACCCAGAACCCTCCTACATCCCAAACATTTCTCAATGTCTTCAACAGAAGCAAACTTTAATCTGAACATCGGGCTGACTAATAACAACCAATATTTATTTACAACCACTTTCCTCAAAATGAGTTGAAATACAAACACATCTATGAATATTGTGTCCAGTTTTGGGCCCCTCGCTTTAAGAGAGATATTGAGGCTCCTGGAGTGGGTCCAGAGAAGGGCGACTAAACTGGTCAAGGGGCTGGAAAATAAAACTTACGAGGGGTGGCTGAGGGCGTTGGGGCTGTTTAGCCTGGAGAAGAGGAGGCTGAGGGGAGATCTGATTATGGCCTACAAATGCTTGAGAAGGGATGGTGCGGAGGTAAGAGAAGGGCTCTACATTAGTGATGGGTGATAGAACAAGAGGAAATGGGTATAAGCTTAGTCAGGGGAGATTCAGGTTGGATGTTAGAAAGAATTTCTTCTCTGAAAGGGTTGTCAGCCACTGGAATAGGCTGCCCAGAGAGGTGGTTGAGTCCCCATCCCTGGATGCGTTTAAGAAAAGGGTGGATGAACTGCTTAGGGATATGGTTTAATGGGGATTAGGGACGGTTGGACTGGATGATCTCTAAGGTCTTTTCCAACCTAGAAATTCTATGAAATTCTATGATAAATTATTTAAAAAAAATCAGAAGTACAACATGTTAGTCTCCATGAAATACATCCTCAAATTTTCAGAAAAACTTAAAGCAAAATCCAAGCTTTTCTTCCAATTTTACCTTAGATGTATAACCCCAAAAGCAAAACAAACAAAACCCCAAAAAATTAACAGAAAGCCTTCGGCTTTGGGTGCGTTTGACATATCTCTGTATGTTCTCTACAATACACATGAACGGTTTTGGATGCTGTTGGTATAAATTGCACAATGGATTTTCTAAGTTACTCACTGGATCAAAGGAGAGGCCTTGCTTGCCTCGAAACAAAAAATAAATTTACAAGCAAGCAAAAAATCCCATCCAACTGGTAAGTTATAGGCAGTCCAAATTATCACTGCTCCCACCATTTTTAGATTTGCTTCATAACTATTTAATTACAAGTTTACATTTTGTAAACTCGTAAACTTTGTTACTTAAGTATTTTAACACACAGGAACAAATAAGCTTCCTGACAAGCCACAAACACTAGAAAAAGAGCATGCAACTCTTAATATTTTCAGTGGTTACTCCTACAACTTCAGACAATGTAGTCTCTAATACTGTTACAAAATCATAAAAATTTTATTTATTTTTAAACTCTTAATGACAACTGCCTATATTGAATGATCGTGTGGTTTGTGCTGGGGTGCAGTACTGCCTGCCGGAAAGGCTACAGCCAGTGTAAGCAAATTCCAAAAACAAATCACCCAAAGCTCGGACTCAGTGAAAATATTTCTGGAATGCTCAGATGTATTTCTAAACATCTTTGTCTTTTGATCTCTCAAGCACCCAATTAATTTAATCTTTATCTTTCCTGAAACTGCAGTTAAGTATAGTACATTTTAATGCCATTTAGAAAAGGAAAAGGAATTTTCATTTCAAAGCAGGAAAAAATTTAAGAGTGTCAGACCGAGCAAAGGCCATCCCTTCCAGGCTGCTGTTTCCTGACAGAGGTTCACCAAACAACCCCAGGCAAGAGCAGTGAATACTCTTTTGCAATGTTTAACTAACCTTGCTGGATCTTTCTTCCATGATTTTCTTTTCTTTTTCCCCCTAGAACCTGCATGAGATTTAACATTCACAATACGGTGCAGCAATGATCCTGTTCCACTAGAACCTGCATGAGATTTAACATTCACAATATGGTGCAGCAATGATCATGTTCCATGGTTTAATCAGGCTCTGTGGGAAGAGGATTGCCCTCTGCCTACATGCTCCTCTCACTGCCTCTGCAGGACACAGCACAGTTTAGCACAGGAAGATGGAATGGAGGAGAGCTCTAGCACATTAATTGTCCTTCTCTATCTTTTTATAGATTTTTTTTTTTTAACTCAAACTTAAGTCTGTACAAACGTGAGCAGAAAGAAGCTACGATCTAAATAACTGTCCAATAAATTATGCGAATTTAACCTTTAATTTATTGAACAGGCAAAAAGGTCACCAGCGTTTGCACTGAGATCAGTTAAGCCACTTGTACATGAAAGGTCTGATTTTCAAAAGCTCCCGTCTCACACGTGTGGCCTTTACGGCCCAGATTTTGGGAAGATACGTTTACTTCCCATCGGGATGCTTGCTGGTGTGCTTCTGAACAGATGAGAGTAGCGGGTGCTGAGAACTGGAAAACTTGATTTCAGTGCTTGGTGCTGAGGATGTCAGGGCACCCAGCCCCCTCCAAAAGCTGTGCAAAACCAAATCAAAGACTAGGCATTAAACACCACAGATCTGGATGCCCGAGACAGCCAGTCTGTGCCCAGGAGCACAGGAAAAGATGTGGGCAGTACACTGACATCCGACCACAACCTGCTCTCTCAAGCTAACCCTAAAGAAGGTAATGCTAACAAAGAGCAATACTGTGTAGGAGGAGAAAGCTACTACCCCAACCTTGTGCAAAAGGCTGATGTAACACCATGTGTGGCTCTCCACTATGTGCTCCTAAAAAGAAAGAGGGCTCAGAAATGGGTATGTGGGCTGATGGAAGCTTGGGGGATCTGTCTCATGGTCAGAACCTCAATCAGTTACACTCATCCACCTAAGAGCGGACTACTAACTTGGTTTATAAAATCTCTACTGAGAAAAGATTTCTGACAACAGCTGTATTGGAAAGAAGCAACTGAGGTCTGACGGTTGGAAACGAAAGCTAGGCAGAAATAAGGCTGGAAATCCAGACCCGAAATAAGTCACCCGCTTTCTGTAGTAAGTGCAATTAAGTAATTGAACAACCTAGGCAAAGATACGCCGATTCGCCCAAAAGCAACCTTGAAAACATCCTGCTTCAGCATCTCCTTCCGAAACCTGGCCAGCAAACAGTCATGAAAATGAGGGGTGAAACGGGTGTCTTCCCCCTCCCTGCTTGCTGCTGGCACCGATCCATGCCCAGTGCACATTACAGCAGGCCGAGCTCGTGCAAAGCCAGCTGCAAGGACTCAGCCTGCCCATGCCTGCTGGAACGTTTATTTGTAGTCATCGAGCATGCTGCTCGTGGCCACAGGGACCAACCAACCTACCAGCACCGACTACATCTCACTCTACAAACAGAGACACTGTTTAAATCTTTAAAAAACAGGGATAGGTTTCATTAATAAGAAGTTCAGTGCGTATGTTTAGGAAAATACTAAAAGGTGAGACGAAATGGTCATATAAGTTTTTGTTTTCTGTTAGAACTGTGATTCAGAAGCGGTCTTTTTCTGAGTGGTTACCTATTTACGTAATTTGGAATCAGACATAAAATAACCAGCCTGTTTAAAAACGGATAACTCTACAAGATTTTGCTCCCTGTATTTATAAAGTCTGCAAATGATTCTGTGACTTCTCCATTCAGTATTAAAAAAATAAGTAAATAATTATCAACAGTATGTTAAAAAAGCCCTTGTGATTCCAACATAATGGTAACCAGCAGCCACCCCCCAAGAAAACAGAGACAAGAGTTATAAAAATACTGAGCCTTCCGTCTTCTGCATAAAGTAGAAATATTTTAAAATTTCTTCATGGCTGTTGGCACAAACTCTATCCTTTTGCACTTCAATACATTTGGGAACTTTGTTTCTAGAGATGCATCGCATGTTTTCTCACAGTGATTTGGGAACATTTGGTCAGACATCAGTTACATGTAAAGATTTCTTAAAAGTCTGCAGTCTGATGTAATTTTTTGACCACATCTGTTGTGAGAAGGAGGTTTCATTTTTTTATGCATTGCTTGTTTTATAAGCTAATTCATGCTACTACTGCATGAAGACTGATCAAAAAGCGTGTGTTGACAGGTGTGGAAGAAATGTGGTATCAGATGACAGTTTCTTC